GCCGCACGCGCTTTCAGAGGAAGAAGACGCGTGAGTTCACGCGCAGACACGCGCGCGCACCAAGCCACCCGAGCCGGAGCCGAGTTGACCAAGCCGAGTCAGAGCGTTGACCGAGCCGCTGACGTCAGGCTGACGTCAGCAGAATCGGAGGAATAATCTGGTGCTTCTCAGGCGCACCAGACTCTGCCGATCTGAACCGTTAAAATTGTTTTGGCTTTATCTAACCCATCTGAGGTTCGATTTGGGTGAACCAATAGTGTTTTCAAACTATTTGGAATATTTCGGACACATCCGTATGGTCAGATTTTGTAAATAAGCTTTCAAAAATTTGCCGTCTTTCTTTTGACAATCCGAAGTGTTTTTCCGGCTAATTTGACCAGTCCGGACTCCACAGCAAAACTTGTTTTTCAGCCAAAGATCATTTTTGTATGATGGAGGAATCAACGTCGACTTCAGGTTCCATGATAAAGTTAAATGCTTCCAATTATGCCATTTGAAAGCCCAGAATGGAAGATGTTTTGTATTGCTGAGATTTGTTTAACCCCATTGAGCTTAATGGAGTTAAACCACCAACGGAAAAAAACGAAGACTGGAAACGGAAGAACCGAAAGACCATTGGCCAGATCAGACAATGGATTGATCACAGTGTCTTCCACCATGTCGCCCAGGAGACTGATGCCTATGCTCTCTGGACAAAGTTAGAAGGCATGTACCAGTCGAAGACTGCTCGGAACAAAGCCCTCCTGATGAGAAGACTTGTGAATTTGAAGTTGAAAGGCAGTATCTCTGTTGCTGAACACACCAGTGAGTTTCAAAATTTGGTGAACCAACTAACAACTGTCAAAATGGAGTTAGATGATGAGATGCAGGCCCTATTGCTGCTCAGTTCTTTGCCAGACAGTTGGGAGACATTGGTGGTGTCTCTCAGCAACTCTGCCCCAGAAGGGAAACTGACCATGAGCATGGTTACAGATGCCTTATTTAGTGAAGAGGCAAGAAAGAAACAAATGGGTGGAGATCAATCCCATGCCCTCATCACAGAAAATAAAAGCAAAGGTAGAGGCAGGGGCAGGAGAAGAAGCAAAAGTAGAGGACACAGCAGAGGAAGATCTCAAGACAGAGGGAAATCCAGAGAAGGTACGAGCCGGCCAAAGTTCAAATGTTACCATTGTGGCCAGGAGGGTCACATAAAGAAGTATTGCTATGCCTTGAAGGGAGAACAACAACAAGGCAATAGACAGCCAAAGACCGAAGATGGGACCACTGCAGTTACTATCTCAGAGGATATTGCATTATTCTCTGTTGAAGAAGAAGAATGCCTCCATATGTCAGACAACGACACCGAGTGGGTGGTAGATACAGCAGCTTCCTACCACGCTACATCCCAGAAGGAGTTCTTCAGTACGTACCAAGCTGGAGATTTTGGTACAGTGAAAATGGGTAACTAAAATCTACTCAGCCACCTAGGTCACCCTTATGCCTAGGAATAGGGTCTAAATGTGTTGTTCCAACCCACATGCATGAAAAACATGGGAAGGCAACCAACCAAGTCAAGCTTGGCAGCCACCAACCATAGCAAAGGTCAAGAATGGAGGCTACCCAAGTCAAGAATGAAGGCTCTCCCACCTACTCCTTTTGTGTATAAATAGAGACGGGAGGGAGAGGATGTTTTATATCAGAAATTGGAGAGTGAGAGCTGTGAGTCTTGTGACAACTGCTTGTTTGGGAAGCATCATAGAGTCGCTTTCCATTCATCATCCAGAAGACAATCAGAGTTGTTGAGCAGAGTATACTCTGATGTTTGCGGTCCCATTGAAGTGGAATCTTTGGGTGGTAGAAAATACTTTCTGACGTTCATTGATGATGCATCACGGAAGGTATGGGTTTATGTCTTAAAGACCAAAGCTGAGGTGTTCCAGCATTTTCAGACATTCCATGCTATGGTGGAAAGGGAGACTGGAAAGAAGCTGAAATGTCTCCGAACAGACAATGGAGGCGAGTACACGTCAAAGGAATTTAAAGCCTACTGTGTTACTCACGGCATCCGGCATGAGAAGACTGTTCCTGGAACCCCACAACACAATGGTATAGCCGAGAGAATGAACCGAACCATTGTGGAGAAGGTCAGATGTATGCTCAAAATGACAAAGCTACCAAAGCCATTTTGGGGAGAAGCTGTTCGTGTTGCTTGCTATTTGATCAACAAATCGCCATCAGTTCCACTGAATTTTCAAATTCTAGAAGAAGTATGGTCTGGAAGGGAGATCTCTTACTCTCACTTGAGAGTGTTTGGGTGCAAAGCATTTGCACATGTATCCAAGAAGCACAGACAGAAGCTGGATGACAAAGCCACTCCATGCATCTTTATTGGCTATGGAGATGAAGAATTTGGATACAGATTGTGGGATCCGAAACACAAATAGGTCATTCGAAGCCGAGATGTGGTGTTTCAAGAAGGCCAGACCTTTGAAGACTTTGGGCAACCAACCAAACCCAAAGTTGATGATGTTTCAGAAATTATTCCAAACCCTGCACCATCACAGCATGCCATTGATGAAGAAGAGTTACCGCAGCATGCAGTCAATGATGTAGAGTTGCAGGATGGATTTCTAGAAGAAGAAGATCCAGAAGCAGAGGGTGTTGAGCAGGGGGAGCCACAACCCCCTCTACTAGAGACTGTTGGTCCACAGTTACGAAGATCAACAAGAGAATTTAAGCCGTCAACCAAATACCCTACTTCTGAGTATATTTTGCTTACCGATGAGGGGGAGCCAGAAAGTTTTCAAGAAGCTCAAAATCATAAGGAGAAGAGTAGCTGGCAGCAAGCTATGCAAGAAGAGATGCAATCCTTGCAGAAGAATCAGACTTATGATTTGGTGAAACTTCCCCAGGGTCGAAAAGCATTGCAGAACAAATGGGTGTTCAAGTTGAAGAAAGATGGCAGCGGAAAGCTAGTCAAGTATAAGGCTCGATTGGTTGTCAAAGGTTTTGGGCAGAAGAAAGGTATTGATTTTGATGAAATCTTCTCGCCAGTTGTGAAAATGACATCCATTCGAGTAGTTTTGGGACTAGCAGCTAGTTTGAATTTGGAGCTTGAACAAATGGATGTGAAGACAGCATTTCTCCATGGTGCTCTGAAGGAAGAAATTTACATGGAGCAGCCAGAAGGTTTTGAAGTAAAAGGGAAAGAAAACTTAGTCTGCAGATTGAAGAAGAGTCTCTACGGCCTCAAACAAGCGCCGAGACAGTGGTACAAGAAGTTTGACTCATTCATGGTAGGTTATGAGTACAAGAGAACTGCTGCAGACCAGTGTGTTTATGTCAGAACATTTCCCGGTGGAAACTTTATCATACTTCTGCTCTATGTTGATGACATGTTGATCGTTGGACAAAATGCCACAACAATCAGATCACTGAAGAAGGAGTTATTACAATCCTTTGACATGAAGGACCTAGGCCCTGCACAGCAAATTTTGGGCATGAATATTGTGCGTGACAGGAAAGCCAAGAAGTTGTGGCTGTCACAGGAGAAGTACGTTGAACGAGTGATTGAGAAGTTCAACATGAAAGATGCCAAGCCAGTCAGTACTCCGCTGGCTAATCATTTCAAGCTGAGCAAGAATTCTTGTCCCTCCTCTATGAAGGAAAGACAAGAGATGGAGGCGATTCCCTACTCATCCGCTGTAGGGAGTTTGATGTATGCAATGGTGTCCACCCGACCAGATATTGCTCATGCGGTTGGAGTTGTAAGCAGATTCCTTTCCAATCCAGGAAAAGAGCATTGGGAAGCAGTCAAGTGGATTCTGAGGTACCTCAAGGGTACAGCAAAAATGTGTTTGTGCTTTAGAGATGCTAAACCAGTTTTGGAAGGCAATACTGATTCAGATATGGCAGGCGATCTTGATGGTAGGAAATCTACATCAGGATTTCTGTTCACCTTCGCAGGGGGAGCTGTGTCTTGGCAGTCCAAGCTGCAGAAGTGTGTTGCTTTATCCACAACTGAGGCAGAGTATATTGCCACAGCGGAAGCCGGGAAAGAAATGTTGTGGTTGAAACGGTTTCTCCAAGAGTTGGGATTAAAGCAAGAAAAGTTCACGGTACATTGTGATAGTCAGAGTGCCATAGACCTGAGCAAGAATTCGATGTACCATTCTTGCACAAAGCACATTGATGTTCGGTATCATTGGATACGCGAAGTGATGGACAAGCAGTTATTGGAACTGATCAAGATCCACACAGATAAGAATCCAGCTGACATGCTTACAAAGGTGGTCTCGAGAGACAAACTCGAAATTTGCAGAAACATTGCCGGGATGGACTTCAAGTGAGAAGTCAGTCATGCATATGGGTATGGAGGGGGAGAATTGTTGTTCCAACCCACATGCATGAAAAACGTGGGAAGGCAACCAACCAAGTCAAGCTTGGCAGCCACCAACCCACATGCATGAAAAACGTGGGAAGGCAACCAACCAAGTCAAGCTTGGCAGCCACCAAGCATAGTAAGGGTCAAGAATGGAGGTTACCCAAGTCAAGAATGAAGGCTCTCCCACCTACTCCTTTTGTGTATAAATAGAGACGGGAGGGAGAGGATGTTTTATATCAGAAATTGGAGAGTGAGAGCTGTGAGTTTCATCTCCTCCTCTGTATTTGTAATTTGCTCCATTTTAGTGAAAATTCTCATTTCTGTCCGTGGATGTAGGCATTGGGCCGAACCACGTAGCGTTGGGATGATTTTATCTCATTTCCTCATGATCCTCCTTGAATCCTTTGTTGTCTAGATGATTTATTTTGTGATCGAAGAACATGTGTGTTCAGTTATGTAGAAAAGTATGGAGCAATTTGTTAATCACTTGTGTTTCCCTTTTGTTTGATATATTGTCATTGAAAATTAAAGACTCTCTCGCTCTAGTACACAAACAGTGAGGCTGTCATCATGCTTGCATACAACTGCCATATGCACCCGTGAATCCACATCCTAATTCCTCATTTTTACTTGGCAGACGTCTTAATGATAATCAGTTAACTGGGAAAATCCCAAGGGAGCTCACTGGTATTTCCAGCTTGAAAGTTGTGTAAGTGAAAAACCCTAGTGTTTGAATTATTAGTACTATATTCATTGTGACTTAGTGTCAAGACATCTGAATGATTTTGCAGAGATGTCTCAAACAACAACTTGTGTGGAACAATTCCTACTACAGGTCCATTTGAGCACATCCCATTAAACAAGTAAGGTTTCCTTGATTCATATAGTTCTGCAATTTATTTTTTCTTGAAGTTCGTTGAACTCGCTCCTACAGGGAGGGAAAAAAAGAAGGAAGAACTTTAACTCAAACTCAAACAAAAATAGGTGATTGCAATGTTTACCATGTAAGCCTACTATATTGGCTCTGTCCAGAAAATCAAGGAGATAAACCTCATGGGAACATTTTCTATGTTATTCAAGCCTCATTACCTATCCAAAAAAAAAAATGGAAGAAGAAGAAAGAAGAAAACAAAAGGACAAAAAACAAAAGGACTGTGTGGAGCTTCTTCTTTTTTTATAGTCATAAACAATATCTGCATAGGCTTCTAACTATGATTAGTCTCAGTGAGGTGTGCTAAAGAAATGAGATTTTGGTAACTATTTTCATATATGAAAATGGGGCATTTGATTTGGGATTACTTTTGATGTCAAACGGATTCATGACTCATACAAGCAAATGATGTTTATAAATCAGAGAGATCTATGTCCAAGCAAGATGAGAACATAGAGAAGATTGCCGCATGCTTTTGGTAGAAACAGAAGATTCTTTTCTTTTTTTCTCTCTCCATTTTTTTTTTTTGAGATTCAATGATTTTGCATGGACTGAAGCTTGCTTGGAGATGGTGCTTAATTTCATACTCTTTTGGCTTTTCTTTCTTAGAGCCTATTTGCCTGCTGTAATCCGACCTTGGTTTTTTTTTTTTGTTTTGTTTTTGTTACTGGAATTTTGTAGCTTCGAGAACAATCCTCGACTGGAAGGTCCAGAGTTACAGGGACTTGCAAGTTACGATACAAACTGCTCATGAAAAACGGGTGATCAGACGCAGGAACTTGCAATTGTTCTCTCGGCATTAGTTTGGTGTTTTTCTTCCCTAAAATGTTGGTGTTCGTTGTACTTAAAAAAGTTGTTTCAAGTCTGTTCATGTAAGTTCGTATGATATATAGTATTGGGCTAGGTTGTGAACACAGTTTAACATGATAATTATCTGTAAAATCATTACACTACCATCAACTGTAACTGTACTTTTTTGGGTATTGTAAGTGTAGTTTTTTTATGAATTAAGGAGTTTGTGCCGATGGCGTTTTGGAACTTAAGATTAGAAGGCTTGTAATGATCCTTATGTTAAAAAATCTACTGGCATAGTTGGATTTCAGTTTGTGATCATGCAACGACAATAGCAAAAATGTTATAGGGGAGAGAATCAAAGTTTGAATTGGGGATGAGAATTGTTTCTGATGGTTTTTAAATGATTCTTTTAGTATACTGGAATTGTTAAAAAATAAAATCAAATGAAAATAGTGGGAACAACCTGAATCACTCGGCAAACACAGGGTGGTGCTTCTCTCCCCACCCCTTTTCGAATTTTATTTTGCTTTACTCACCTGACACGTGTGTGGACAAATTTTTTTAATTCACACAATAAAAGTAGTGAAGTCGCTTTAAATAGGGCTGACCTAAATTGGCACTATTGCAGGGACTTTGATTCTTCATTTTATGTATATAATGGAAGATTTTTATTACATACCTAATGGTTATAAAATAGGATTGCAAGTGAGTAATGGCAATGTCAAAGTGGATAGACTGACAATGGAGGAGGAGCTAGGGGTGGGCATCAGGCTATCCAGACTGAGTAAGGATCTTTTAGAGTTTTTTTTTTTTAAAGTTTCTTAGAGTGGTGCATTGTGTAGTTGAGATTTAATGACAAGTCACATCAATTTTTCGGCATTAAATCTCAATCACACAATACACCACTTTAGGAAACTTTAAGAAAAAAATACTCTAGAGAATCCTTGGTGATCCGGACTAATCAATCTAGCCTACTATTAAATTAATTAATTGATTATAATATATATATATATATATATATATATATATTTTTTTTGAAAAATATATTTTTATTGGGATCTAAACTTTATCATTGGTGAATTTATTGAAACTTACATTTGTGGTAACGTGTGATTGAATTTATTTAAAAAAATCTTTTAATTTATACATAAAAATTTTCAATTTATAATGATGTTGGTATATTTATTTAAAAAATATAATATAATTGAATTTAAGTATAGAATGTTTTACACAAAAAAAAAAATAGCCCAATGAGTGAGCTTGAGATTTATAATTATTTTTTGGGTCAAACTTGGACAGATGTAGAGGCCAGGTCTTGGAGTCTTACCAAGCTTAAACAAACATAAAATCTTTTATTATATCGTGTTGGCTCGGCCAACGAATGCCCATCTTAAGCATATCTAATATGTATGAAGATGGAAATTCATTGTATAGTACAAACTCATTAAAAAAGTGATGCATAATATGCAAGTTATGTTGGTTGTTTTGGAAAGTTAGTTAAAAATTAATATTTAAACTTTTTTTTTTAAAAACATATAAAAAATTAGAAAGATAATGTAATCCAAAATAGATTAAAAGTTAAAATTTGGCTTAAATATCTTCCAAAAGAGCCCATTGTTAAATAATGTTAGAAAGTAGTGCATGGATTGATTTAGGGTTATTTTGGAAACAACAATGATTTAGACCACTAAAAAATGCACCACTAATAGCACTAATAGCACTAATGCATTGGAAATGACAAAAACAAAAATAAAAAAAAAAACAAAAACAAGGCATAGAAAGTGGGCGGAGCTCATTGCCACATCATTAGTGCTCCCCCTAGTGCTCTCTTTTTAATGCTCCCAAGTATTTTTCTTTTGGAAAATAGCAAGGAAACTTCTTTCGAAAAAAATATATATACATGTAAAAAAAAAATAAAAGAATAATATAACCTAAATAAATATATAAGTTAATTTTTTTTTGGGAACATCCACCTACGATCACATCAAAGTGGGGCTGAGCAACGAATTTGTAAAATTCGTAATCCGATCCAGTCCAGTCCAATTCGATAGGTTTGGATTGATTTTTTGAATCCGTGGTTCGGTTTCGGATTGAAGAATTAAAAATCCGTAGTCCACGGATTGGTTCCGGATTGAACTTCACGGTTCCGGATTGGAACCGATCCAGACCGTATACAAATAGTCTATATTTTTATTATACATCCTCCCTCATAGTATCTTCTCTTATTCCATATAAAATATAAACTCAAACCTAAACCCGCATATCTTCTTTTATTATTTTTGTTTGTTAGTTTTTAATTTTAATTTGTAATGGTCTAAATACTTATGGTGAAACCAATTTTCTTATGGTTGTTTAAATTCTAGAACAGTATGTCGTTATTATATAAAGACATGTTACTATTGTGAAACTAATATAGCGCTATGTTTATGTTTTTATGAAATTAAAGTATTATATATATATATAAATATATATTGTTATTTAATTATGTGAATCCGTGGTCCTAAACCGATCCAATCCGTATTTAAATGGATTGGTTCGGATTGGTTCCAAGATTTAAACAGATTGGATTGGTTCTAATTTTTCAGGAACCGTAAATAATGAATTGGTTCTGATTTTATTCCAATCCGGTCCAATCCGGACCATGGTCACCCCTAGTGAAGCATATCTTGCTTGTAACTCAAAGTAATGTTTTTAAAATAATATTAATTTATGTTTTAAAGCAATCAGTTTAGTTAGCCTCCGTTTGAAAAGTGGATTGACTTTTTAATTTTTTTTGATTTTTTTAATTATTTTAACTTGAGTTAAAAAGTTTTGGAAAGGATGTTTTGACTTTTTGATTTTTTTAACTTTTTTTGTGAGAGAAGAGTGTAATGATTATGGGTTAAATGTGATGTTTTGTTTATTGTGACTAAAATAATTTATTTTATCTTTTGTGACTATTTTAACCACAAACTAACTTGCCAAATAACACCTTAGTCCTGTCATAATTTTGAAATCATGCTGGAATGTAGCATTGGTCTTATTGGCGTTCAGAATGACAGGAGGAGTGAAAAGAGGGTAATAGGAAAGAGAGGATAGGATGTGAATGGCAGACATCAACTTAGAGAAAGATCCTGTTTGGTAGAACTGTGGGAAAGTGCTTATAGCTTATGCCTAAACAGCTTATAGCTTATAACTTTCAGCTTAAACTGATTTCCAGCTTATTCTTAAAGCATCTCCTGCCCCACTCAAAGAATAAGCTGTTTTCTGACTTCCACAAAGCTATAAGTTATAAGTTATAAGTTAAACCAAATACATCAAAATAGCTTAAATTAAACTGAAAGCTGAAATAAGCTGAAATTAAGCTGTACCAAACAGGGCCAAAGTCGGAGACGGAGACGGAAGTGAAAGTGAAAGTGAAAGTGGCTGGTGATGTTTCAACAAATAGTGTTATCCTTTTCAATAATTTTTGTTTACGATAAAATTATAAATATTAAAAAAATTGTTAAAATAAGAAGTTTAAAAAAAAAATAGGATGCCCTAATCTTACGACAAATGGGTGATAAAAATCAATTAATTAATCAAACAAAACCACAAGAAAAATTGTATTTATGCACAAAGTTTTTATATAAAAAATTTAATAAAAATTATGTGACAATATTATTATTATATATAAATCAATATATTTTTAACAGTAATGATAGAGACTAATAAAAAAATCCATTACTAATATCTCTAATGAGTTCGAAAATGTAAAAAAAAAAAAACACAAGAGATAATAATCACATTAAGGAGGAGCCACCTCATTAGTGCTCTCCTAGTACTCCATTTTTAGTGCTCCCAAGGATTAATCTATTTTTAAATATATTTTATTTTTAAATCACATTATTATGTATAAATATTATTTTTATTTTTATTTATTTATATAGCATTACATAATCATAGTTAAAACGCAGTGTTTGGCAAGAATTTTTTTGCGATTTTCTTTGATTTTTTTTCACTAAAAGACAAAGTTTTTGCAAAACTAAAAAAAACAAATCCAAATAAAATATCACATCTAATCTCATAATCATTTCACTTTTTCTTTCACAAACATTACATCCAACCACAAAAAAATCAAACTATCTTCCTAAACACAAAAAAAAAATTCTCCAATAATATCTTACAACTAAAAAAACAACATAAAAATCTACTACCCAAACACCCACATAGGAGTAACAAAATTTTTTGAAAAATACTTGAAACCTTCACAATTTTTGACTTTCACAATACTTAATTGATCTGTGACTACACATTATATTTTTTTATTTAAAAAAAATGCTTAAGATCCTTATTTTTTAAAGATTTCCACAATTCTATTTGGATCTCCACCATTGATGTATGTATGGAACTCACTCATATATATGTGGAGTCCACACCATTAATAATGGAGATCCAAAAAAAAATTTGTGAGGGTCTCAAAAAAAAAATAATAAATAAATAAATAAACATCTCAATCGTTTTTTTTTATTTTTTTCATAAGAGTGGTGATTCATCCCACTAATTTTTGGACCACTAATAGCTCTAATGAGCTTAAAAAAAAAAAAAAAAAAAAAAAAAAAAAAAAAACTCAAGCCAAAACATCACATCACATCACCTTAGTGGGGGTTACTGTGCCACATCATTAGTGATGCTCTAAAACTCCCAATTTAGTGCTCTAAAACATTATTCTTTTCATAAATGTGCTGGTGGGGGTGCTGGGATTCTGTGGCATAGCTCATAGTTTTTAGTGAACCGCGCGGCACAGATGGGTCGTGATTTGTTTTTGGTTGTTTCGATTATTAAAGACCACATTGATGGGACAGGTAACAGTCAGTTTGGATAGCGACGATAAACAATAAAATAATTCAATTCTGATTTTGGAAAATAATTTTTTTTAAAAAAATATTTTTATATTTTAATGTTTTTAATGAATTTTTTTAATATTTTAAGTAATTTTATTTAAATTTTAAACACACCTAACATAAATATATTTAAAAAAATATAATATTTGTGAAAGAAATCTTTAACAAATACACTAAAAATCAAAAAATATATAAAAATATGAAAATTTAATACATTTTTCATATTTTTATGTATTTATTAATTTTTAAAAATATATTTTTATAAATATTTTACTATTTGGATACATCTAAGTAAATTGCATCTAAAAAAGTAAAAAAATTACTTAAAATTTTAAAAAATATTCTTTAGAAACAAAAAAATATGAAAAAAAAAACTTAATTTTTTGAAAAATACTTAAAACCCTCACAATTTTTTACCTTCACAACACTTAATTGATTTGTGACC